AATGTTGCCTTTTTTGTGTCAACACATATAAAACCAAAAGCTTTGGAAATAAACTTGAAGTCAGTTACCACTTATATATCTGTATGGCACTGGCTACTGCCAGTAGCTAGTGAGCATAGCACAGCACATGAATTGGAAATAAAAAGCTTGGCTCTGGGGATCACTAATTAACACGTTATTTTTGGGCTGTTTAATCCATACAAAAACTGAGGTGTAAAAACCACACTTTGTGGTGTTATAACATTTTTATGTGCCAAAAGTTACTGAACCCAGCCAGGAAATAGTTTGGCATATACCCCTAAAGAAAAAAAACAAAGAATGTGTCTTTTTTTTCCGTGTGTTTTGTACAGATTGCAGGCTTGGACGCGCCGACTGCTTCTGCATTTTTTTGAGTCTTCAGAAAAACCACAAACTGTCATCTGAATTGCTGAAGTGCTGTACAGTTGTGGATCATTATTATTAGTGCAGCACACTGGCGGTGGATTGATTTGCCGTTCTGTCCGCTGACCGGTTGCCAGCGGAAAGAATAGATCAACTGGCAACGCAGATAAAACTCACTTATTAAGTTGACATGATTCCTGTGAAAAATTCAATGGAACCAAAACCCATCAGCAAGGACGGTTTCAGGGAATAACTCAATACTTTAAAGGGGAGTATTAAGACTTGGTAAAGTTGATTCAGAGAAGAAGTCTGTGAGCTGTGAGGAAAGTGTTATTGATTTGGGGGAAAGTAGAGTTCAAACCTTCAGGGATAAATCTCTGTAGCTCTCTGTAGCTCTCTGAGCATGATGGATGGTTTAGGGGTCTTGAACCCCTGTGATCCCTTGAGTGCAAATGAAAGTGCGATCAAAGACGGGATCTAAGTTACTTGGATAGGCTTACAGTGACTCTATTCTTTAAAGGAATTTCTGAAAGATTTTATTGAAATGTGTCAGACAAATGTTACCTGTGAACACAGGCTGTTGTTTAATAAGTACCGACCCCGGCGTTTAATATGATCCAAAGCAGTGCAGGAAGAGCAGCCGTCTGTCATCTCCCACCTCTGCCCCCCCTGTGCAACAACTGTGAGTGATGAAGACACTTCAGATGCTGTCAGGGACTTTGAGGTTCAGATCCCTCTGGGAGAGGCTGCAATATAAGGTTTAGCAGCCAGGTCAGTGAAGGGTGAGTGGTGGGTGGCGGAGCGAGCCTTTCTGTGGCTGCTGAGGCGCAGAGACGGCGTGGATGGTGAGAAGGACAAACAGGGGAAGAAAGGGAGAGTTAATCACACAGATCAGTATTGCATTCTCAGCCCTGCTGACCCCCCTGCACCTTCACTGACACCCTAAAGAAGCAGGATGTGTTGTTGGTTGTGCATAATTATAATGCTCACAATATTGGATTCAGTCATTCACTTGTCATTTCCACAACTAATACAGTACAGGTTTCATTCACAATAACCTCGACACTCAGAGCGGGGGATACATCTGCAGTTTGCCCAACGTTATCAGGAGATTTGAGGTGTGAGGCGTGCACAACTGAGCTCAGCGAGTGTGCGACAAACAGCAGAATATTGCGCAATAAGTCACCTTGCATAATAAGCAGATATCCGACAAAGCTGTATTCACATGTACTCAGCAGATGTTTGTATGTTTGCATGCTAAACTAGTGTTGGACAATGACAAACAGACTTTAAACAGATTCTACTTACCATTAAACCCAAACAGCCACATCAAAGTGTCTTTTAGTTGGCTACGATATCTCCACATGGTAGCGACTTGGTTACACCTGTTTTACAATGACCAATGAAGTGATATGTTTACTGGAGTAATAAACAGAGTACAGTCATCATTTATAGAC